ATCCTAGATGGAAACTGTTTTTGCATATGTTTTAACTTAGTATAGAAGCAAAATAACGTTAGGGGTAAATCGGTCATTTTAACCAGTCCAGTCCTGTCCTGTCCTGTCTTACCAAACGCTGAACAGCTGTCATGTCCTGTCCTGTCCCGTCCTGTCCCGTCCTGTCCTGTCCTGTCTGCGCACCAAACGCACCTTAAAATACTTAATTTGATACTAATATCGATATATTTTTGTTAAATTTTTATGATATATTCAAATTTATAATTTATTCAAAAATAAAAACATTATTGTTTTTTCAAAATTACATAATTACCATATTACGAATGAGATAAATAATAAAAACGAAATATTAAAATAAAGATGTATCTCACTACATTACGCGAGTACCCTTCTAGTCTTCAAAATTGGAATTGAATAAAAGCTTGCATCTTTGTATGCAATTTATCTGGTAAAACACTAATAACATAATAAATATATGATAGAATAATTAAAAATAAATGTCTTTTAGATAATACAATTGTACTATGTTCTTATACTTTATTCCTACTACTACGTCTACGTTTATATAAACGAAACACATTATGCAGACATTTCCATTAGGCACAGAATTATATGGGCCTGGGCCTCGGCCCGGGCCCAAGTTTGCAACTCCATCCTCATTCCTCAATACCAGTTGGGCCTCAATTTACAATTTCCTGTATTAAAAAAATAATGGATATATTTCTTTAAAATACTTCGGAATATAGGCGAATGATCGTATGAGATGGAAAGTTATGGTGAAAAGTATAAAAAGAGATTTAAATTCTTGATAATTTTTAATTTTACCGACCCATGAATTGGGCTTCTTGATGCACCTCATTAGTGTGGACATTCGATTATGATTGATCAAAGGGTGGAGATCTTTTCTTATGTTTCTCACCATAACTTCCATTTTCACCAAAACCCAACTGAATATAGACGAAATATTGTGTGAAAAGGAGAGTTAAAAGTGAGAAGCGTAAGAAGGGATCAGGACCCTTGATCACCTTTAATCTCAAACCTACCCATGAATCGTGTTTGATACGTGGATCGATCCAATGCATCTCATCTTTGTACATCTCATCTTAATTTACATCCAAGTGTGGAGATCCTTTCTTACGTTTCTGACATTAACTCTCTTTTTCACCCGGAACCCAACCCTGTAGGGATGAATGCATTTTTTTTAAACGGTGACGCCATTTGATTATAAGAAACAAATATAGGGAAAAGAATTTCAAACGGTGGCACCATTTGATTAAGAAAATGACACTAACAAAATTCGAACTTGGGTTTGAGGTTGAAGAAAAGCCTTATGAACCAACTCTATCAAGGAAAACTTGTTCTCATTGTAGTTTCAAAATATTTACAGTAACATACAACAAATTAATTCAAAGACACTCACAACCCTAAATTCTTTTACCCTTCAATGGAGTAATAATACGATGACACCAAGTTGGGACTGCATCTGACTGTATGTATATATATATATATATATATATATATATATATCTTTATATGTATATATATAATGCTGGTATGTATCTATCAAGGTTCACTCCAAGGTGCAATATACATTACTTTCGAATAAAATAAGGTCCGTTTGTCTAGGACTCGATCTTGATACTAGTTCAACGCATTTCAGGGAGAACCAGGGTTCAAGTGGCATTGTGAAAACACAGAGACTAAAGACTGAGCAATACCGGCTTCATGCACGCGAATTGCAACTTGCAATCCGAAGTGGGTACGACTCACATACGTATCAAGAAAATCTTATTTTTGAGAAAAAAGTCCAAAATATTTCCGAGTTGCCGTTTACACCACTTCAAATATGTGGTTGTCACTTAAATACGTATATTTACGGGAAAAACGGTTCAAAAAGTTTAAAAAATATCATCTGTTAAATGAGCGTTCACTCGCAAATCCTTTTAAGGGATATTAATGTTCGTTTATGTAATCTTTGGCTTATATCATTTTTCCAAGCAATTCTTCCAATCTTGACTACTATACTTTTTGCGTCTTAACACACATAACAACACTTCCTTATCTTCATAATTCTCGTTTATTTAACATCATAAAACCATATGTAATCGTAGTGAACGTTAAAGTCGAACCAATTGACTAATATCGTATGGAGAAGCGTCCATGGGCGAAAGCGCAGTATATGACGTTGATGCGATCAAAACAGTAGCAACTTCCGTGGGATGGAAACCGTCATAATATACCGACATAGCACGGTCAGGGCAAACAAGTGCATTTTGAGCACATTGTCCGTCTACCCTCACTTTACAACAAGGAACGTTTGACAACCTAATACCTGAAATATTCGAAACATTACATGATTTATCCAAATGTAGCGATGATTAAATATACATACATGCCTTTAATTTGTCTCATCTTTTGTGGTTTTACCTTCTTGTAGCGATGAAATGCTTGTAAGGTTGATGAAAGTGAACCTCGCATCGGGGTTCTCATGGTTTAGCTCATGGATAAGTGGCTTAAGCTTGTCGTTAAATTGTCTAACTGCGTCGTTAATTGACTCAACACATGGACTTCCATCGGTGCCAAAGATGGATATTTCAGCCGGGGTGCACCCAACCGGACCAAGACCGAATACAACAATCTTTCGACCTCCCAAATCGTATAAAGTCTATCATTTGTCGAAAAGTAAGGCTTTTCCGGTTGAGAAAATGAAGAAAATTAACGAAAGCGAACGAAAAGAAATATATGCACCTTTAGTTGTCGAGCGTATTGTCGTGTGAGGAGCGTTGCGTATTCATAAGGCGTGTGCTTATGGCTCGTAGTGTAAATGGTTGGCATTAAGTAGTTGTTGATGTAATCGTTGCTTCCGATGTTGACTACATAAATGCACTTACTTAGGTGTTCGTTCGTAAATGTTGTGTTACGTTGCAAGTGAAAAAGCCGTGAAAGTGTCGTATTGTGGTTACGTAATTGCCGGTCGAAGCTTATTCGACCACCCTGTGGAAAAAATTAAACATGGTAGAGTCGGTATTAATTATAGAGGCAAAAGATCGTGTGAGAAGGAGAGTTAAGGTTAGAAGGGATCTGGACCCTTGATCACCTTTAATCTCAAACTCACCCATGAATCTCGCTTGATACAGATATTAATCTGGTGCATTTCATCCTAATGTACATCTAAGAGTAAAGATCCCTTCTTATGCTTTTCACCTTAATTCTCCTTATCACAAGAGCGATTATAGATCTTTTTCAAAAATGCTTGTTTTTATTACCAGATGACTTCCAGTTTCGTCTCGAATGCCAGCTGCACCACTACCATAGTTTACGCCTTTACTGATATGTGAATCAGTTGCAGTGACAAACGCTGGAATATACTCATCGAAATCTAATAGTTCACCTACAATCATGTACAACAATTTGTAGAGTAGAAACTCGTTAAGGGTATCTCTTACTCATCACTATAACACTAAAAATATAGGTGATATAACCACAAGGGAGGTGCCTGATTGGTTTGAGCTTGCTCCAAAGGTTAAAGAGGTCCCAGGTTCAAATTCAAGGAGGAACAAAAATTCTCTTGTGGTCACGAAGGTTCAAATGCGGTGACTCCAAACTATTTGCAAAACAATCGGCTAACATAACGAGTTGAATATCCAGGTTAATAAAAAAATATATATATAGGTGATATTCGAAGGTTAAAGTGTTCCATATAAAATTAATTTCAAAATGGAATATACTTTTGGCCAAAATGCATCAAATTGTAAATGAATTTTCTTAGTTCCTATAATCTTAATAGAATTTTAAATTATATCAACTTGACTACTTTTAAAGAGCATCTTCAACATATACTCTATAATTTTAAAAAACTCTTAAAAACTATTTTTTTTTTGCATAAAATATTACATATTGATTCATATTATTAAAAATTCAAGATTAAAAGTAAATTGTGCGTATACAACTTATTAAAGTTTTATGTTTGAATTCGTGTAACTAACTGCAGATAAATATAATTAAATAGATGATAAACATCTCATCTTAAATATAAAAAATATAAAATATAATTAGGATAATCGTTGAGGTTTAACAAAATACTTAATTATTATCTTTATAAAAAAATTATATTATTAAGCCAAAAATAAATACTTTGTTATCAAACCTAAATTATATTTTATATTATCTTTATATTTATATTTTATTTAAAAATAAAAATATTATCACATTCTCAAAACTACATAAAACTGTATTATAACAATTACTGAAACAAAATAAAATAAAATGAAACATTAAAATTAAGATGTATCTCACTACATTTTATGAGTACTATTTTAATATTGATAAAATAGAGTCGTGAATCGTGATAGCGTTGTAAAACACTATCATTTTGATAGATAAAACATGAAATATAACGTTGACTTTGAATCGTTGGTTTTTTTTAATACATGTAGGCATCAAAGTCTTTAGCATAAAAATGACGTAACAAATGCAATTTACAAGTGTTTACGAGTGGAACGATGGAACGAGTAAAAGAAAAAAAAAAGAAGGATGCTGATCATATATCACTCATTCAAACCCCGATTTAAGTGATTCAAGATTCATAGAAAACCAACAAACAAATCTATAAAGTTGAAGTTTTGAATTTCTGCATATTCGAGTTTCATCTAAACCTAAAACTGACATTAAAGTCGGACAAAGCATGCTGGATAACAAGAGAAGCTGAATGTACAAGTCATAACAACATATATTTTCCATGGTACAAGTCAGATCAGCAGGTAAATAACAGGTCAAATAAAGGCCATGATTCATGAAAACTTCAAAAACAAAATGGACTCTTGGGTTGACTTTTCTTTGAGTGGACCGTACGTAAGTTGGACAAGAAAAACGTGAAGCATAGTGCCGAAAGAGAGATCCTTATCTCTATCGGAAGGGGATTCGATTAGGGCCCAACGACTATTTAGGAATGCGTTTACTAAACATTTATCGGATAAATGCTTACTGATATAACTTATCTTACTGATTGAGCATGAAAATGACCCAAAAACTTATCCGATAAGAGGTATAGCAAGAACCGAGAGTCAGGTAAGTGAAAGAAAAGACTCTTACTTTGTAAGAGTTTACCGGGTTTAAGATGCTTAATAACAATCCATTTTAATGGTTGAGGATTTTACACGATAGAGCAAGTGTGTGTGATGTCTTATGCCGGTAAGCATTTGGTAAACGGCCATGTAAATGGACTTTAAGCCTAGTTTTGGGGGCTGTTGGGGGGAACTCACGACTGGAAAAACACAAAAAGAGAGGCATATAGAGGAGGATCGATCAAGGGGTTGAAAGAGTGTCTTACAGCTGGAAAACATAGGACGAAAACCGCCGACTTTGGGGATATTTTGACAGTAGCAGAAACATCAATTTCGAGGCTCGATTTGGGCTGTTTATAGCAGCAAAAATGTCGACAAGGTAGGCTGTTGCTGTTGATTTGCTTGAGTCGAAACAACATCGGTTGGGGCTTCTGTCCGTAACAACTTGATGTTACCTTTTATTGGATAAATTAAGTTCTCGTTTTTTGGTTCTCGTTAGGTAAAGTTTATTTATAAAGTTTCGCTTTTTGTATGTTTAGTAGCTTAAGGGTTGCTTACTAAACGCTTGCTTGCGTAAACGATTATCAAGTCACATTATTTTATCGGATGAATATGACAAGGACCAAGAATCTTATCCGGTAAGACTTAAGAACGAAGGCAAGAACCGAGCGTCTTATCCGGCAAGTGAAGGTGACGGCTCTTACAACGGTATGCATTTATCAGGTTAATTGTTGCATACCGTTTTGATGAGCTAAAATTCTTACTCGGTAAGTAAGTGATAGTGTTGAATTTTGACGATAAGCACTTACTTGGGTAAACGTTTGATAAACGGCCCCTTAATACCACTCTCATCTCTAATGATTTTGAAAGTAACGTTGTTTGTGCCAAATAGATTTCGGTTTTAAATAGGTTGTTTTGAGCTTAATTGATGAATTGAGTAGTCAATCTTTGTGACACGCATACATTCGATTTTAAAACAAATCGTTAGCTTTATATTTTATATATTACTAGAAGAGTACTCGCGCAATGCAGCGAGACACATCTTGATTTTAATGTTCCATTTTATTCTTTGTCTCTATCGATGTTATAATACGATTTTATGCGTTTTAAAGAAAACAATAATGATTTTATTTTTGAATAAAATATAAATTTGAAGATATCATAAAAATTTGAAAAAAATTATATCAATTTTAATATCAAATCAACTATTTAAAAGTTTTTACTTTTTATGTAATTTCTTCAATTTATTTTTTTATTATAATTTAATTTAAGTTTAATAATGAAATAGTTTATTTTTCTTTAATAATATAACATTTTATAAAAATAATTTAAGTATTATGTTAGAACTTAATGATTATCTTAATTATATTTTAAATTTTTTATATTTAAAATGAGATGTTTATTCTGTATTTGATTATGTTTATCTGCAGTTAGTTACACGAATTCAGATATGGAGCTTTAATAATTGTACTAATGCACAATCTACTTGTAATCTTAAGTAATAAGTAATATGCATTAATAAACAGTATTTTATGCAAAAAAATGGGTTTTAAGAGTTTTTTGTCAAATGCTTTATAATATAGTATAGATTATGTGTTTTTAATAAAAAAATACTGATTTTATTTTTGAATAAAAATATAAATGTGAAGATATCATAAAAACTTGAAGAAAAAAAAATATTAATGTTAATATCAAATCAACTATTTAAAAGTTCTCATTTTTATTTAATTTATGTAATTTATTTTTTTATTGTAATTTAATTTAAGTTTAATAATAAAATAATTTATTTTTAGTTTAATATTATAAATTTTATAAAGATAATAATTAAGTATTCTGTTAGAATTCAATAATTATCTTAATTATATTTTAGATTTTTTATATTTAAAATGAGATGTTTATCCTGTATTTGATGAAATAGGATATGAATGAAATCGGATAAGGATGAAATCGTTTAGGGATGAAATCGTTTAGGGATGAACGGGTTTAGGGATGGCTTTAACAGGTTGTACCATTAGCAATAGATGTTGTCTTTAAGAGTTTTAAGAGTTTAAGAGTTTTAGCCAAATGTTTTATAATATAGTATAGATATTATGCAGTTTGTTTTATGGTTTTGAATATTTCAAACCACCATATCGCATATCAATTTTAATAGTTAATGTCATAATATTAATTTTTAATGACATTTATTTGATTTACCATATTTCTAATTTTATTTGTTTTTAAATTAATTTTGAGTAACAATTAAATATTTTAATGATATATGTATTAATTAAATTGAATTTTATATGTTTTATAATGTTTATAGAATACTTTTATCATTTGAATATTGTTTTTCACTGTATCGTTTGAATATTATTACGTTTTTTTGAGTGACATTTAAATAAATATTGTGTGCTTTTTATTTAGTAATAATTTAATTTACTAATCATGATAATACCATTGAACTTATATTATTATTAATAGATTTACAATCGACATAACTTCATTTTTTAATGAATAATCCAAATATTCTGGTATATACAAATAGATATTGTATCGATTCAAACTCTGTTTTAACTCATTTCCTTTCTCTTATCTGTTGGATTCTCATGAATCTTTTTAGATCTGGAAATGATGAAACTGCTCATAACAGTATCACTGAGGAATATGATATTCCCCAGAATCTTCAGAGCTTGAAGAAATAATAGTATCACTATCATTTGGATCATTATCACTATTAGTGATACTCTGATTTTCATCATCAGAATTGTAATTCAAAAAGATATTGCTCAAAGAATTAGACCTTAAAAGAGGTCTTTTTTCAGAGTACATACTTCTCTGATCATCGAACTGTATATAAACAGTTCCTTCATTAGTCTGGGTGATATTTCTAAAATCACTTTGAACTATGGGATTTCTAGGAATATTCCTGGTTAAGGACCAACTTTCTGGAAAAGCTATCTCATCCCACTTAATAGATCGACGAATAGTGATGTTAGATCTATTGAAATTTGTTTCTATTTTATTGCAGTATGAATATTATAAAACTACATATTATTTATTAAAAAAACTATGTATTGTTTAATAAAAAAAATTATGTATTGCAAATTAACACATAAAGTATAAATTGCATAAATCACATCGCACCTTATTTTATGGTGTAGTAATTTGCGGTTTGAGAATCCGGGGTTTAATTTGTCGTTTGGAGAAATACTCATCGACTTGGTTTGTGGTTTTAACACTAAACCGTACTGCATCGCACCACACATTAAACACCCTAGAATGGAGCATCAAAAATCAAAATTTCTAAAAATTTATATACAACTTCAATCGCGCGCTACTTTTATTTTAGAGATGTTAACATTAATTACATTATAAATTTATCAAATATATTTATTAAAATATTATTTTTTTCTCTTATACATTTAATTTTCATGTCTCTATTAAATGTTGAGTTTTTGAGATTTCTTCAAATATGGAGGTTTTCATATTCTCTCTCTTATTTTCTATATTGTATACAATATAGCATAACTGTTAAGTCAATATCTCTATGACTCTAAAGTCTCTAAAATATCTATTTTAATATAGTTTGAAGATGCTTTAAAAGTACTAAACTGAAGTTGTCATGCTATAGTAACTTGTATGTTATGCTATAATAATTGTACGTAGCGATCTAACTAGAGGATAAATTAATAATAAAACAAATTATAAAATCTTGGTGAAGAAAATGAATGAACAAAAGGCATATATGTAGTATTATGAATTTTACGGGACGTAAATAATATTGAATTACTAAGAGATTAAAGAGAAATACCGATGATATCTGCAATAGTTCGACCATTGGTGAATCTGCCAGTGACACCTTGTGGGAAATCAATCCCATAAGGTGGGTAATTAGCTTTAGCCCTGGTTACGAGTTTGTTGTTATTGCCGCTATCAACCAGTGAGTCTCCAAATATGAAGTAACATGGGACTTGTGGTTCACCGTTGACTATAAATATTTCAAATTGCATTACTGCTATAAATATACGAATTGAGAATAATAGGTTAAGCTGACAATAAGCCATGTTTCGCTTAGGAGGAAAACGAAACTGGGTTTTAAATTTGTTGAAAATAACGTTGGTTAATGAAGTACAAGAAGATGGATATTGATCTTGAATGCAAAATGCATGGAGCTTAAAAGAAAGAACATAAGAGGTGGTAATTGAGTTAGGCAAGAGAATTAAATTTTTTAAAGAGTATGAAATACAAATTTGATGTGATAAATTTTTTGCCGTTCCTATTGGATCAGTAAGAATAAGATCAACCTCATGTCTGATCAGTATTTTATGATTATAAAACTTTAATAATTTAAACAAATCTTGTTGCAAAGAAAAATAAAAATTTGATGATACCAAATTGATAATGGTGGAAATAAACTCTTTGTACAAGTTTTATGTTAGGTTTGCACAAACATCATGTRAAARCMAKRAWAKAGKRATTTTAGAAGGGAAAATAAAGAAAACCATCCTTAATCCGTAATAAAAGCAAGAATAGAGGAGTTGATATTTTTAGGCCTTAATACGTTAGCCATTTAGCGGTGAGTGACAACTCGTCCATACAACTAGTGGCAAAACTTCAAGATTGGGAATTTAACAAGAAGTTAGCGGTAAGATACAACATGCAACCAAAGGGCTTTTGGCCTAGCGATATCGTAGCCATTGGCCTTCAGGAGGTCAAGGGTTCAAACCTCACCATAGGTGAGGAGGGTGTGTGAGTTTATTTGTTGCATTTACCGTATATAAATATTATATCCTTCAAAAAAAAAGATACAACATGCATAATGAAACCAATGATTACTAGAGAGGTCACCCCCTTGTCACATGTACTAATAATTGCGCTTTACTGGTAATCACTCCCTCGACATCACGAATGTTCGTCTATGAGCATGACTATTATTCAAATATTAATACAGTTCATGTATTTAATTTTATTCAACAATAGTTACGTTGTATGAATTTTGGATCACATAGATATATTTCACATGTGTCAATTTTAAAATAGCAATATACAATATCTAAAGTTCCTAAAATCGATTCCGGATCTCAAGTCCTTGAAATCAATTCTTGATGATCCATTGAGATCATCCTACACATTAATCATAACAATACCGAGTATTTTGATAAATCCTTAAACTATTTTTATAATAGTCCAACTCAATCCAATGTTTCATTAAAAATTTGTTCTTTCTTATCTACGTATAAAGACATAAGTTCTATCTGAAAACATTTAAACCAACCGATCACGATTTAACAACCGGTGGAAAGATACACCATCAACTTTGACCAATCCAAGGCCAAATCACCTAAAAGTTTGGCCAAAATTAAATCATTTTTCTTTGGTGGTGTTTGTTTTACAAAACTTTTATGAACCTCTTATGTCTAATAGATCAAATGTAACGCAATTCAGATTGTTTGTTTTTTTTTCAACTTTACAAAGCCTCTTATATCTTATCGTGGTCTAAAATATAAGATATGACCAAACCCCTTATTCACCTCTTATCACTCAATCGACCTCCCAATCTCGCTCCCAAATCGTGGGCTTTTTCCAAATCGCAAGTTTCCTCTAGATTGATCCAAGCTTTCTTCAAGAACATAGTTATCCATTGATTTATACCCTAATTTACATATGGTTTGTGGTTGGATCTCGTAAAATAGTGTTAATATCCTAAAATTTGGAAAGAACCACTAATTTAAAATTTCCAAAAATATAATAAATATAGGATAAATCTCTTACTATTAATTAATATCTCGGGTCACCTATTGATTTGGTGATGATCCACTGATTTTTTCCTCTATCTTATCCACATTTAGTAGTTATTGGTTTTTTTGTACATTGGTGTTTTGGTACATACTTAAAGACATTGGCCAAATCAAAGAGTAGTTGATGTGAAAACAAAAAGTCACTGATGTGGTACTGTGGATAAACTGTCTAAATTATACACCAAGACTCTGGAGTAGCTGATATAAAAGTTGAAAAATATTTTGAAGCTACAGATTGAAGGAAGATCTTAATGCACCGAGATTTGAAGAAAGATCTTCATACACCGAAGATTTGTGAGTAGTTGTTTGAAGTACTAATCCATCCAAAGAAGATCTTCCTACAGATTGACCATATCTTTGCAAAAGTTTGTCTCTGCATGAACAATATTGTATGCACGTTGTGTACGATGAAAATGAGATGTCAACAATGGTCAAGTCAACCCCTGCCTTCTTATTCTCAGGTGACAAGTGTCCCCATGCATTTAATGCTGAAGGTTGTATAAAAGGCAGTGTGCATCTCCCATGCAAACTACGGTCATCATTTTAAAGATTTCTAAGTGCATTCTCAAAGAAACCGGCTCTCCTCTTCTACTCCCTTACTCTCCTATGTGTGAAGAAAAACTTAGTGTGTTCTTGATTTCCTTTCAAGTACTCTTTGTGTTGTTTTTATAAGTTTTTCTCTCTGGAAAATTGTTTAGGTTAGGTTATCATTTCCTTTCTTCCACAACAATCTTTATTGTATCTCTGTGTGTTAATTCTTGATATACATCAATAAGAATTAAAAATTTTAAAAAGTCTGTAATTGTATTCAACCCCCATTTCTATAATTACTTTATGTTTAACCTCATAAGCTAGATCTGCAATAGTTTCTTCTTCTTCCAACTCTTCTCGTTGTTCTTACAATGACAATGACACTATTGCCACGTCTCCAAAATTAAACAAGAACAACTTTCCTTTGTGGAAAAGTCGCATGACACCTTCGTTGAGGATGTTGATAGTCAATATCTCTCTATCCTTAGGGATGGCCCTATTGTTCCAAAAGTCTGGCTTCGTCATGGAAAGAACAAAGATGACTCTTCAAATGATTCTGATGATGATGAAGAGAAATATGACTCTACTAGAAGGTTCATCTTCAAAGATCCTTCAAATACATTGAAGATGACAAAATGAAAGTTTCTTTAGATACCAAAGTAACGGCTATCATTGCCCTATCTCTTCCCGATGATGTGTACCACTCCTTGATGAACCTTTCTACTATTAAGGACATGTGGAACACTCTGTGTGTTCTATATGAAGGAACCATTGAAGTCAAGAAAAACAAGAAGATTGGCCTTGTTAAGCAATATGAGCTCTTTGTACATGGGAAAGGTGAATCTCTTACTGAGTACTACAACAGGTTCAACAGCTTCCTCAACGATCTGTAGCTTCATGGCAGAGTCTATGAAAATGAAGAAGTCTTGTGCAAGTTCATGGACTGTTTACCAGATTTCTAGAAAAACATTTGTACTTGTATCAAGACAAGCAAAGATCTTGAAAATATGCCTCTTACTGCTCTTTATGGAACTCTCCATAATTATGAGTAAACCAAGATTCTGAAAAAGACATTATTAAAATATCCCAAAAGTACTCTTGTTGCTCTTCTCTACAATGATATGAGGAAGTCAGTGAGTGAACCTCGTATCACTTATCTGACTGAATCTAATGAAGAAGTTGTCATAAAAGAAGAATTTGCTGAAAGCTATGCTGGTGATGCTGATGATGAAGGTGATGGACCCACAGTTAATGACTTAGCTGACAACATGGCTATGATGGCTACCAACTTCAAAAGGTACACAAAAAGAACTTTTTCTAAATTCTCTCCTAGATCTAAGATCACCGACTAAAGAACCTTGGATCAACCTAAGTCAGCTCCTCTTGACTTATCCAAGGAGGAGTGTTTCAACTGTGACAAGAAAGGTTATTTTGCTGCTGAGTGCAAAAGCAAAAAGATCTCTAAGGGTCTCACGGCTAAGACTCATGATTGGATTGAAGAGCCAAACTCTTCCTCCAGTGATGAGAATATGGCACATTTGTGCCTTATGGCCAAAATACGGGAGATAGAAGACTCTGACAAGGAATCCACCTCTACTGCTGCTGATGTACCTTCTACCTCCAAGGAAGCCAAAGATTCGGTCAAACCAAAGAAGGTAAACAACTTCTCTTCTCTTTTTGAACCTGAAAAGGTTCAAGCTTTTGATTCCTTATTTGTTGATCTTTATAATGCTAGATCTGCTAAAAAGAAAGTTGACCTCTAAATTAAAAGTCTAACTAGTCAGTTATAGAAATGCATGAATCAACTGAAAGACTTTTATAAGTTGAAAAATGACCTGAAAGAACAAAAGTTAATTAACAATGTTCTTAACAAAAAAAGAACCAAGGTCTACCAGAAGCTTGAGAAAGAAAAAGTCATTCTTCATAAATGGGCTAGATCATCCAAGAACTTGAATAAAATATTACATGATCAACTTCCAAGTGAAATAAAGAGTGGTCTAGGTTACAATGATATGGATCTGTGTGCTCCCAATGACTCTATGTGCATTTCTTCTCACATTCACTCTTCCTCATCTTCGTCTCATCTATCTGATTCTGTTGGATCTCTTTCTCCTGAATCTAATTATAATGGAGAACCTCTTAAATTCGGAATTTTTGTCAAAGCTAAAAATCCAAACTCTGAATCTGATAATGTTCCTGTTGACTGTGCGTTTAACTCTCTTTCTCTTCTGGAATCTCCTGATAAATGCTCATCTAAATCTAAAACATCTGAGCATCTGAAGCAACCCGTGAATCGTCGTTTCATTGCTACTGAGAAAAGCAAGTCTGTTGAATCATTGTTGCGTTCAAGAACCACAAGCCATTGTGGAGAAGAAATAAAAAAGGTTGCTCGACAAAATAAATCGTCATGATCAAAGTTCAAAAGAAGCATCAACAGGGACCCAACGTGACATGGTAAGCCAAGGAGGATATGCGGTGCCGATACCCTCACCTGTTTGGCTAGATTAAGATTTATAGGACAAAATCAATTTTAAGGTTAGGAGGATTGCAACACCCAAATTTTAATTTGGACTTTATGTCCTATTTGTATTCCGTTTGATATTTGACTTTAGAATTAACTTTTTATCAAGTATATGTTATTAAGTGAATTTTATGCTAAGTTCTAAGAAAAAGTCAATTAGAAGCCAAATCAAAGGTCAATGCGGGTTTAGCCGCTTGAAACCCGGTCTGTTTGC